GCTGTATTCTGTTTCAGTTATTTGTTGTAACTATGCCACTTATGGAGAGCAGACACTGTACTTCTATTAAGAACAAAAACCACATACGACCTCTCAAACACACAATAATAATAATAATAATAAGTTTTATTTATAGTGCACTTTACATTTTACAAAGGAAATCTCAAGCTGAATCTTCAGAGTAGCAACAACAAGTCTGTGGTCAGAATTCACAAACTGGGCACTTCTGTAGACCCTACTGTTCTGCAGTAGCCTCCAGCGTCTGCGCACGAGGATGTTATCGATCTCCTTCGCCACAGCACCAGTATTGGAGTACCAAGTCCAACGATGTGGCACAGGACTTTGGAACCGGGATCCAGCGACCTGCAGCCCCTTACCTTTTGCAAAGTCAAGGATCATGGAGCCACTTTAGGTAATCTTTACCTTTATCTTCTGATACTTTTAAACAATTTCACTAAATCCCAGTTACAGTCTTCGTGTGAGACAGTAAGGCTGGTTTACGATGCAGTCCAACCTTGCAAAGGCATACAAGCGACAACTACTTTCTGTTACTACAATTGCTATGAATAGCAAAATGGATAGACAGAGCAGAACGAGTCATCAAAATATCATTACACTTAATTAACAAGAAAATGTCTGTGTGGAGGGTATATGCAGATACAGCGAACATTGCTTGTGGACTTTTGATTTTGACCAATGAAGTCGTGACATTTTTACAGAATTAAGCAAGTGTCCCGAGAGTTTTCTTGAGCACTGTACTTATGCCCAGTTATTGGGAATTCTTTGTGCCTGAAACTATTCAGTCCGAGATCTTAAAGTAAATTTAGATGCACAGTATCAAGTGAGATGCTGTGCAGAGACAGACTTTCTATATGAGACATTCCGATTTCACACTGTCACGACTCGGGAAGGAAGGAGGCAAAGGCAGATGTGGGGGAAAAACTAAGAGGTTTTATTTCAACAAAACACAAGACAAAAGGGCAAAAGGAAACAGACCACAAGGGGTCAAAACCAGGCTGGGAGAGAAGGGGAGGAACAGGGGAGGAATACAGGGTACCAGGTCACCAGAGGGGTAGCACAGGTGCGGCTACAGAAGGCAAGACCGCCATTTGAGGTTATTTATAACCCTGACAAAACAAGGCCCAAAAATGATTGAATTTGTGTGTCGTGGCGTCCTGCAGGAAAACATTGGCACCGCCCTGCAGTTGTCGAAGTCTGTGGATGCCACCCGCGCTGTCCTGCAGGGGCAGCTCCGGAACAAGGAGTCGGAGAACAACAGGC